CAGAGCCAGTTTCTACCCTGCCTTTGCTGAGCCCTCTCCTTCCCTGCTGTTTTCAGAGCCCATTTCCTATCTGCCCTGTGCAAAACCCTGTTCCTCCGTTCTGTATGTAGAGTTCTCTTTCTCTCTCCCCCGTGCAGAAGACTACCCCTCCCTGAAATATTGGTATCTCTCCTTTGCCCTGCTGTGTACAGAGCCCTCTTCCATGTTGTGTACTGAGTCCTCTTTCTCCCTCTTTGTAGAGCCAGTTCATCCATGCTATGAAGATATTCGTCTTCCTCAGTGTCATTTGTAAGAGTCCTTTTCCTTCTGTGTACAGAGTCCTTTTCCTCCTTGCCCGATTTAGAGCTCTCTGTCCCTACTGTGTACATAGCACCCTTCCTCACTAACATGTGCAGAGCTGTCTTCATTCGTACTGTGTATATAGGTCTCTCCCTTCATGATTCGTTGAGAGTCCTCTTCTACCTTAAATGTGCAGTGCCCTGTACGTCTGTGCAGTGTGCAAAGCCCTCTTCCCTGTGTGTACAGAGCCCTCTTCTTCCATTACCTATGCACAGCACTCACACCCCTGCTGTATGCAGCACATTGTCCCTCCCTTCAAAGTGCAGTGCACTCTATATTCCTGATGTTTGCGAAGTCCTCTTGCTCCCTGGTGTATACAGAGACCTTTACTTCCCTGCCTTGCACAGAGCCCTCCCCCTTCTTTCCATTTGCAGAGGTCTCTTCCTCACTGCTTTATACACGGTCCTCTTCCTCCATGCTGTACATATAGTCCTCTTCCTTATGGCCCTGTGCAGAGCACTCTTCCCCACTTCTGGGATCAGAGCCCTCAACTTCCCTGCCTTGTGCAGAAACCTATTCCTCCAAGCTGTTTACAGAGTCTTCTACATCCTTGCATAATTCAGAGCCATCTTCTTCCTTGCTGTGTACATAGCAGTGTTCACTCATGCTCTCTGCAGAGCCCTCTTCCGCCTTCTTGCATAGAGAGCCCTTCCCCTCCCTGTCCTATTGAGAGTAGTCTTCTTCCCTGCTTTGTGCAGAGCCCTTTTATTCCATGCCCTGTAGAGAAACCTCTTTTCCCTGACCTGTGCAGAGGCCTTTTTCTTTTTGCTGTATATAGAGCACTCTTTGTCTGTGTTCTGTATAGAGTCTTTCCCTCCACATTGTGTACAGAACACTCTGCTTCCTTAGCTTATGCAGAGACCTCATCATCCTCACTTAGTACATAGATCTCTCCTTGTGGTGTATGCAGGGCCTCTCCCTCCCTTCAATCTTCAGTACCCTCCACATCAATGGATTTTGTAGGGCCTTCTTCCTCTCTGATATGTGCAGAGCTCTTTACCTGCCTCTGTTGTGTGGAGCCCTCTCCTTTCCTGCCTTTTGCTGAGCCCTCTTGTTCCCTGCTGTGCAAAGAGCTCTATACTCCACTACCCTTAGTAAAACTGTCCTCCTCCTTGCTGTATAGAGATCTCTATTCTTTCCTGCCATATGCAGAACCTCCTTGTCCCATGCTCTATACACAGCCCCTTTTCCCTGCCTGAGCAGAACCCTCTCAATCCATTCCATATGCAGTACACTCTACCTCCCTGCCTTGTGCAGCACCGTCTTTCTCCTTGCCCTGTGCAGACACCTCATTTCCCCTGCCCAGTGCAGTCTTATTCCTCCCTGTTATGGCCAGTGTCCTTTCCCTCCATGTCTGTGCAGTAACCTCTTCCTCCCTGCCTTTACAGAGCCCTTTTCTTTTCTGCTGTTTTCAGAGCCCCCTTTATCCCTAATCCGTGAAGAGCCCTCTTCCTCCATTCTTTGTGCATAGTTTTCTCCCTAACCGCTCTGAAGTCAGCTCCCAATACCTGCCCTGTTCAGATCCCTCTTTCTCCCTGCTGTGTACAGAGCCCTCTTCCTCCCTATCCTGCTCAGAGCCCTTTTCCTCACTGCTGTGTAGAGAGCCCTCATCCTGCTTGTCGTGTGCAGAGCCCTCCTCCTCCCTGCTCTACACAAGTCCCTCTGTGTCCCTAATTTGTGCAGAGATCTCTTCATCTTTAATGTATAAACAGCCCTCTTTACAACTTTCAGAGGTCTGTTTCTTTCCTCTGTGTAGAGAGCTGTCTTCTTCCTTGCCCCACACAGACCTGTCTTCTCCTCTGTAGTGCAGAGCCCTCTTCATCCTTAACTTGTGCAGAGCCATTTTTCGCCCTGCTGAGCACAGAGCCCTCTTTCTCCCTAACTTGTTTTTTTAATTTTTTACTTTTTGGTACTGGGAATAGAACTCAGGACCTTGCACTTTCCAGGCAGGCACTTGTACCACTGAGCTCTGTCCCCAGCCCCTTTCTCCCTAACTTGTGTAGAGCCCTCTTTATCATTTCTGTGTAAATATATCTTCCTCCCTGCTCTGAGAAGAGCCTCTTTCTTTCTTCAGTGTGCAGTGCCCTTTATAAACCTCTATTTGCTAGAACCCTTTTCCTCTATGATGTGTGGCGAGCCCTTTACCTTCCTGTTTTCTGCAGCACTCCCTTCTTTCCTGGCCTTTGCAGAACTTTCTTCCTCTCTGATGTATATAGAGCAGTCTTCCTCCACACTCTATGCAGAGCCCTACATTCCCCTAATCCTAACCCTTAATATATTTTAACAAGAATGAAAAATGCTGCAAAACAATGTAATATTATGACTAAAAAGTAGGTCATTTGTAGAGCTGTACAAAAAATTTATTATAGTGAAATAAATCAAACACACGTGTAAATAACGTATTGTTGCTCTGGTGTGAAAAACTGAAAGTGTAAATAAAGACCAAAATGTATAACAGATATTGTGAAGTAGGAAGAAAATATCCAAATCGGAAGGGGAACTAGGGAATGAGGAGGACGAAAGGAAGGAAGGGAAAAGAAAAAAAAATGATAAGAAGGAAAAAATGCAAATAAAGCTTTTGTAAATAGAAAGGGAAAGAGGGGTTGAAGGGAAGATAGGGAAATGGGAAAAAAAGAACCAAGTTATATCATGTACAGGTACAAATTCTTTATAATGAATTTAATCATTATGTATACCTAAAATGTATCAATAAACTTAATAAAAATGTATTATATTAAACATAGTATTAATAATTTCAAATCAGTTATTTAAAAACTTGATTTAAAATTTAGAAAATCAAAAGAATAAGCAAATCGATCATAAGGGGGAAAATCTCTATAGTATAAGGTTTATGAAGAAATTTGAGTTCATATTTTAATGTCTACCCATAATTTTTATATGAGTTAATATCAGTGGTGAAATTTAGAATTAATCTGGAACATGCCAATATTCACCCAAACTCTTTCAGGAAAAAAGCAAAATTGGGAAAACAATGTATTTAAGATAATAGCTAAATTCTGTTGCCTACATCTGGTAATGATATTGTATAAAGTAAAGTTTACAGACTACTTCTGTTATTGAACTAATATCACGTACTCTATTCCAAGTTGAGGCATATATTTTCAGGAGAGTATACTATGACAAAATTAAGTTTACAGAATATAACTGAGTATATTAGTTTCTTAGAAAAGAGATGTAATATCAAGTAAGGAAGAAAAATATAATAAAATTGAACACCTGTTTAGGATTATGAATAAACAACAATGAAAACAATTGATACTAAATCAGGAGTAGGGAGAAATAGTTTAAATCCCATCAATTGTCCTTTTAGGACCCTAAAGCAATTCTGACAGTTTGTGGTTCAATTTTGAAAGCAAGAGTGAGCCAAGAATAATGTATGTGAACACTTTTACCAGATATTACATTGGATGTTCTGGTCACTTCAGTAGTCTCAAGAAAACACACAATAAAGCAAGTTATATTGGACAGGAAGAAATATAACTGAGTAATCCCCAATGGTATTAGTGTGCACATATGAACCCACAAAAATAAATTATTTTAGTGGGGATGGAATGCAAGATTTATGTAAAAGTGTATTTCTATATTTCATTCATAAATTATTTATAGATGAAATTTTAAAAATTCACATTTGCTCTCTCTTGAAAGTATTAATTATCTAGCAATAAATCCTGTAATGGTTTTGAAACATAACATCATTAAACTATAGAAAAGCATTTGTGAGTGTAAACTTGTAATAATTGATTCAATAGGTATGTTTATGCACGAAAATGGTCAATAACTGAAGAATGTTAGTACTTTTCAGTTTATCTACTGAATGAATCCAAATGTAGTAAAAGTTTCAGTATTTTTTTTTTCTTTTTGGTGGGGGTAGGAAAACTACAATCTATGATGGTACAGCTTTCCATGACATTAAATACTATTGGTTATGCATATATCCTCCTGGAAATTTGCAAATTAGGTTGGTTTCTTAATAAGTGAGTACTCATTAATGAATATTCCAGGTATCACTTATGGAAGTATGATTTGGATAGGTAGGTATTGTAGTATTGCTTTGTGAAAACAGAAAGACACTTTTATAATAATGCTAGAATAACTATTATAAATAATGGCACTGTTTACTACCTAACCTGCATTCTCAGGCAGACTACATTTGGAGTTGTGTTTACTGTGGCTATTTCTACTGTCTTGGCTAAAATTACTGCTGTGGTTCTGGGCTTTAAATATCATTGCATCAGGCATAAGGATGAGGCAGTTGTTAATATCAGGGGCACCCATCCCCTTCATTCCCATCTGCTCCCTGATCCAGTTCACTGTCTATGGAATCTAGATGGCAACTAAACCAATCTTTATCGATGTAGATGTACACTCGGAATGTGTGTACAAAGAAAGAGACATGCATAGATAAATAATTGAATGAATGAAAACACTCTTCTGGAAGTAATTTGAAGTCCACTTATGTATCTTAGAGTGGTTGTAGGTACTAGGAATAGTAAAATAACTATATTAGAAATGAGCATATTCTGCTCCACTTGTCCAAGAAAAGAAAACAAAATAGTGACTACTCTAAAATAATCAATAAAAAGATATGTCTTCATAAATTATTTAAAAAAAAAAAATTGGCTGTATTTGCTTTTTCTTAGGATTTTTTTTTTTCTTGTGGGTCCTGGGGGTGGAACCCAGTGCTTCACACAGGCTGAGACACTGCTGTCTTCCACAGAGTTGCTGGCCCTCCCTTGTTTTGGATCTTTAACAGGTACGTTTTCTTCCTCACCTAGTTTTGCCTGAAGAAATGCTTCTCTTTTGTGAAAGAGTGATTCTCAGCTGGGGGCAAGGGAAGAAGAAAGTTGAAACTACTTTATGTCTTTTCCACGTCAAACCCCATGATGTTATTTTTAAAAAAAATTTTGAAATGTAAAGGGTTTATGGATAGGTATTTGTTTACACAATAGAGTATGAAACATGGTTTCCATTTTCTAAAAACTAAAGTATAGCCAAATACAAGGAAGCTAATAGCATTCACAGGACACACACTTTCGATGTGCAGATATTGTTTACCCAACTCAGGCAACCTTATTGTAATTCAAAAACCAAACACATCACACACACACACACACACACACAAAAAAAAAAAAAAATTCCTAAGGAGTTCACAGAGAAGCCTAAGTAGAATCCTGCCTTCTTTTTCCAGATGTACACAAGAGAGATTTTTTAAGGCATAAAGTAAATCTTGTATGATTTTTTATGGGTAATTCAATGTCTATCTCCAAAACATCATCTTTACACTATATTTTATAAACTTGGGACCAATTTAAGACAAAATATTTTAAAATGTCGATTTTTCTCCAAGTGTAAATTAGAAAATAAAAAGACAAGGCTCAAACTTGATTTTATAATACAGAAAAACTTGAAGGGAAATAAACAAAGATCCTATCTAACGATTTGTGGATGTCTCTTTTCCTGAGTGACTCCTAATAGTTATAAATCTGTAGTGTTAACAGAAAAGGTACTCAGAGTAGTTTAAACTAATAAAAGAAACACTGTTGTGGCTTACTTGAAAAAGGAAGAGGTAATTGATAATCACTTGGGGAGGGTTCTAACTGGTAGGTCTATTTATAGTTATAAACCTACAACTGTAAAAAATATTCTTTTAATTGAACATGGCCAATACATACAAAAGTGCAGCGATATTTAATATAGTTATTTTACATATACTTTTTTGTCCATTGCTGTGTGTGTTCATCTGTTTTAATAGTTGGTTAAAATAGCCTACAGGTTCTTCATTTTAAAAAAATTTTTGAGCTTAAACATTACTTTTTATTTATATTTTTTGCATTTATAGAGTTATTTTATTTTGGGCTTTCCATGGAAAATCAGTTATATTGGTTTTCAAACTCAAAACATTACAGGATAAGCTTGAGATTTATGTAAAGCCTTACAATTAAGGCTTTAAAGGTTAATAGCATTTGTTTGAGGTATATGTTTCTGTGTGTCAATTTTTGGTGGTATAAATACAATGTCTCTTTCTTGTGTACAATAATTTGAGTTTTTTCTTCATTAAAATGAAAATATAAAGCTCAAAAATGTTAACTGTGCTATGCTTTTGTTCTCATGAGTCATCTAGAATAATACTTGAGCTAAATAGGTATATATAACCCTAACCATAAATAGGTCTAACTCTAACCATAATGATTAAATTAAATAGGTAATACATCTATTTATTTTCAGTAAAGCTAATTTCTAAAATTTTAAAGGGTCTAAAGGTATTTTAATTTTTGGTAACCTCACATATTAAGTATATTTGTGTTTCCCAAGTATACAGGTCTTTGAAGATGCAAAACTTTAAAAAGACATGATACTGATGACTTTCAGAATAAAGTTATTCATGCTAATGGACTTTTTCAGGTTTAATTTTATGTGATTATTATATAACTGTGTAATGATAGTAATATGTGTCTAAGTGATATATAGCCCAAGTAATGTCACTCTAGAATCTAAAAACTGGACAGTTGTTAATACTTTAAAAGATACTTTTGTTAAAAATCATATTAAAATTTTATTTATGTCTTTAATATTTTATAATTAGATAAAGATCACTGATTAAAAGTTTATTTTATGGCAAATTAAAATTTAAACATGTTTTAAAAACTAAATAATTTCAATAGCTCTAAGATAATGATATCATCACAACTGTTTGCTCTTGATTAGGTTTGAAATTTAAAAATTAACCAATGCCTCTTCAAAGAGATTTTTATTATGAAGAAATGTACATGATGTGAAGAATTTTACATATATTCTCTATGCAATGTGGAACAGCTGTATATTAACAATCTAATTAGAAATCAAGCTGACAATTTCTAATGAAAAAGGTTAACAATTTGTAAATGTAGAACCTATCATCTGAAAGGAGAACTGTGCCTATAATCAATGAGATGGTTCCACTTTCTAAAATCAGAGCTTGAATGACAGTAACACAAGGAGCTCCAGTTGCCCTTCTCCACATCGATAAGATTCCTCTAGGTCTAGGTCTCCACTGTACTCAGCATACTAGAAGGCACAGTCCATCAGAACGTCCTTGAAGCCCTGATTGGCTTGAGGCTGGGAACAGTCTACAAAGTCTCATTCACTCAGGAAGACCAGTTTGCTAGTTTTCTGGAACACACATCCTTCAAGGGTACCAGTTGCACTAAAAGCCCACAAAATACAACATGAAACTTGAAAATGTAACAAAACTCTATTGTGCACAAAACAAATATCAAGACACTTTGTACAATAGCTCACATATATGACTATTCATTAAAGAAGAGTGATCTGCATGTAACACCATAGTTTACCACAGCAATGACACCAATTCTTGACTTTTTAGTGGAAGATTGAAGGTCTGAATCTGATTCCATCTTACCTTACCCTTCCTGGGAGCCACACATCCTCTCTCCAGCTCATAGGTGAAGGGCACATAGCAAGGAGCTGTTACTGAAAAGCAATTTTCCTTTTGTGCTTGTGGTTTTGGCATCATCTTGAGTTCTTCACTAGTCTTCAAGGAAATGCAGGTGTAATATTGAACATGTGAGAAGAGAAAGGACATCTAAACTTCCATTTTGACATAAGATAGCCATTTTAGTCAATCATCTTTATCTAGTATATAAGAAATTTTTACCTAACTTGTTGATAGGGTTTAATGGGGTGTCATTGAAGAAACTTGTGATACTTCTGGACTGTTTAATGTCTAGGCATCTTTAAGTATAGTGGCATATGTCTAAGTATAGAGGCACATATATCATAACACATACATCACATAAGTTTTTGTTGAAGACAGATGTCTGAATCTGGAAGAAAAGTCTATTACCATAAAATTTTCCAGTTCTACATTTTAGGAGACCTCTACATCTAAAGGTGTCCATACATGTAGTACACCATGAGATTAATAACAATCAGTCATCATAGCTGTATGAAAACTTTTGTTTCTTAATTTAGTTTTGTACCAGAGAATCTCTATATCTGAAAATCTTATTGTCTTATTTTTAGAAAACTTAATCTTTTGATGATGACCAAAGTATACATATCACAATAATATATTTTAATAACATATATTGGGGTGTCTCCCATAATGCAATGGAGAACATTGGGGTAACCTATTAATGAATAAAGGCTGGCATATGATTCTTCCCAGGCAGCTGCTCCTTTATTTACCAAAGGGAGCCCTGACCAATAATTTCCCAATCCCGAAGGGTCCTCATTTGGTTACCTTAACAAATTTCTTATGACCTATGAGAAAATCAATTTTGATATCATTTTGACCAGCTGGCAAAGAAGCATGCTTCTTAAATCTATAAACTAAAATCTATAAATTAAATTTTGAACAAATGATCCAAAAATCCAAAAGAAAACTGAAAAAATTGTTGGGCTTAAAAAAAAAAAAAAAAGCTGTTTACAGATAGGACAAACAGACAAATACACAGTCTGCTTACAATATCACAGTGCACTCAAGTACATTTTTTGGCCAATTTGAATTATATTAACTTGATGGAGACCACTACAAAGTAGCTCTGAGCAGGATTTAATATTATTCAATTAGCTTTCCATTTACTTGTGAGTTGTCTGAAGCTTAGGCACCTTGTCTAAACATGGGCAGTGGACTCATAGTAAATGAACCTCTGTGGGTCACTGGTCTCCACTGAGGCCTGTATTGGCCTGTGAAGCTGTGATGCCTCAAAGAACAAGGTAAGGCCACAGCTGAGGACGCATGGCTCCAACCCCAGTTAACTTAAAGGAGATTATAGCTGCAGGCATCTCACTCCTGTGGTGAAGGCCTTCCTGGAGATAACATAGTTCTTCTAAATTCACATAATGTATTACCTGGAGAAATTCTTAAAAGGATTCCCCAATCCTGCCCAAATTCCTGCATTTTCTTCAGTATCCCCCTCATTTGTTTGTAAACCAAATAAATACGGGCTTCCCAGAGAAATCTTTGTCTAAACTCAGAGAATATTGAAGCTCTAAGAGAGTTAGACCCTGCTGGAGCCCTGAAATCATTGCAATTGTCTCATTTATTTAAGCCTTCACTGTCCACTCACTTGAGAGATTGCGGGCCTGATCAGCCCACAATAGCTAAGAGTTATTTAATGTGGTAATAACTCTTACAAGTTTAGAAGTTTATAATTATAAATAAATAGTCTAGTCAGAATTTTTGTAGGTCAATTAGCTGAGATCTCTTACAAGAAAAATTTGGAAGGAACAAAATCTTTTATTAATTTCTAACATATGTATGTATTTTATTTTGTCTTAATAATACTGGTAACTTTTGTATCCCTTTCTCTCATGCAGCTTTCAGCTTAGTTATCTCCATGGACCCTATTACCTACTCAGACCTTCGATTCCCAATTTTGTTACCATCTCTCGGACATACTGGGTCAATTTCTTTAATGGGCCCCAGGTTGGGTCTAGCTCTCGTATTATCTATTAGCTGTGCCACACTCTCTGAGGCATTGCTGCCACAGGACTGAGCATCAGCTGCTTGAGATGTGGAACCAACTCCTTCTCCAGGTATGGGTCCATGATACAGCTGGACAGTATGCTCTGGCACCCAGATAAGCCATTCAACATTCTCTGGAAAGACACAAACATACCCTTGTCCCCATATACATACTGGACTTGGTCCCTTCCACTGTCCATTTTGAAGATCTTTCCAAAAGATCCTTCCTAGCTTTTCCTTCACATGATGGAATTGTCTCTCTGCTGCTGTACTCCTACCCGTAGTAGGATTTATAAAGTTAATAGTATATAAGGTCAAGTGAAGTGTATTATTAGGTGTGAATTTTGTAGGAAAGGATTCTCCTTTTTGTTTTTATAGCTGAATTTTATGCATACAGTAAGCACATTCAATGATTCCTTGACCTTGAGTGTTATAATGAATTCCTGTGATAAAGGAAATGTGAAAAGTTTTACAAAATGTTTGGAAGGCAGCGCACATACAAACCAGGCCACTATCAGTCTTAAGTGCCAAGGGGTCTTGGCTCCATTGCTGCCCAGTGATCAGCAGACTGTGGAGTCTCACAGGCATCAAGTGTTACTAGAGGTGCCTGAGGCAGCAAAGCCAGGCAAGGGTATTGCTTTCCCATTGCTGCCTGCTTGCTGCCCACTGGCCCAAATAGCCTCTAGCTGCTGAGCATGATGCAAGTGCGAGGGGAGGGGTTGGCCAGTGATTTAAAGGCTTGGTGGGGCTACAGCAAAGCTCATGCCACAGCATGTGGGAGGCAGGGCCCGCCAAGCCTTTGGAGCTCTGCCCACCCACGGCAGCCTTCAATGGCACATAGACACCAACTTCATAGCCTCAGCCCCTGTAAGGAACTCATCAGTCTCTCACTGTACTCCAGGGAGGAATAGTGCTGGGTATGAGGAAAAAATAGACAAGAGGAAAGAGCAGGTGAAGTCAACTTCTTCCCTGATAGGTAAGAGGAACTGAACAACAATAGCAGGAGTGTTTATTTATACTCTTGCAAAGTTAGTATCATGAGGCAAGGCTGCCTAGTGACTAATGACTAGATTGCCCAGGCAGGATGCTTTTCTTAAGACTGAGATAGCTTGAGTGCTTTAGGCACTCTGGCTCTGTCCTGCATATGACCAATTTCCAGCTCCAGTGGCTCCCAACTTCTCTCTCTCCTCTGTTTTGTAAATGATGGGTGTTTAGTTGAATCTGGAAAAGCTGTACTTAGAGAATATAGTTCCAAATCCATTGCAGTGGTCAGTTACGTCTATCTGGCAATTGTCAGAAATTTGTTGGTGATTTGAATGTTTTACAGCTAACATATTACTATGGCATTGTTATTCACATCTTGTGGTTATACTTTTCTGCTGGATGTTCAAAACCAAGTTAAAGTGAGACCTGTATAAATAAAATTTAACTCGTTGCTATCTAACTAGGTCAGTTAAATCTCTATAGGAAATTACCTTGGGACCAAGTACAGCACCTCTTAGACCTTCTGTCAGTGTCAGCGTCTGGATGAGTCACGGCCATTGCTTGAGCAAGTCACTTTCTGTGAAAGCTTGGGAGATCTTTTTCTCCCCTGGTGACTCTCCGTAGGCACAGTATACATTGTGAATCACTTTCCTCTGTGGTCTTATAATCTCCTTGATCAGATCAGGGACTCAACTGAGTTACAGGTGGTCACAGCAGAGGTTCTCTAATGTCCTGAGTCCTCACTGATCTTGGAGGGCTAGGGCCAACATATTGGCTATCCTCTTGATCCAATCTACCTCTTTAATTTTTGGTCTCCAAACTTCAGTTGTTCAACATTCAGAAGAAAAGATTAATGACATTACATTGTAACGAAGCCAGTAAGCTTAATGTTACTATCTTATCTGAATATCAAACACCTTAGAACGTAAATAAAACCATTATTTTCTAACAACCATGGGTATCCTAATACTTAAATCCTTATAGAATATTAACAGACAACAGTTACATATTTTTACACAGAAATTTAGAAATCAAAATCATACATAAGGTATAGCATGACAGTCATGACAACATTTTGTAACACACCAAATCTTTCATTTTGACATGACAACCATTTTAACCAATCATCTCTGTCTAATACATAAGACACTTTTACCTAATTTGTTGTACTTTAATGGAATGTACATCACACAAATTTTTGCTAAAGGCAGAAGTCTGAATCTGAACGAAAGCCTTATCACAATAATCAATCTTTGCTTTACATTTTAGAAGACCTGTACATAAGGAATCATGAATACAGTTAATATAACATGAGATTAACATTAATGAACTGCCATACACATGTGAAAACTATTGTTTCTTAATTTAGTTTTATATCAAGAGCATGTTTTATGAGAAAACTTTATTGTAATTTTTTCTGAAGAACTTTATCTTTTGACCAAATGAACAAGTAATTGGGGTGTCTCCAAAGAGACTATGGAGGTCACTGGGGGCTCCTCATTAATGAACAAAGGTTGGCTACTCTTCTACTCACCAATTGGAGTCCTGTCCAACAATCTCTTCCCACTCTAAGAAATTTTTGTTTAATTATCTTAATATTTAATGAGCTGTTAGTAAACTAATTTTTATATCACTTCAACCAGCTGGTAACTCAGGTGAAATCATGCTTTTAAGTCTATAATCCAAATTGTATTATGAACAAATGATAAAAGAAAAATTGTTGAGCTCAAAACAAAGGGGAACGGCTGTCCACAGAATGACAGACAAACATGTAAACAAGTACACAGTACAAATGATTAAACATCTTTACAAAATCTGAGTGCCCTCAAATATATTTTTGACCAAATTGAATTATAGTAAGTCTATTACAATTCTAGAAATTTATAATTATAAGTAGACTAATCAGATTTTGTTATCAATTAGCAGAGATCTCTCATCAGAAAAATTTGGAAGGAATAGAATCTTTTATCTATAATTGATATACTTTTTATATTTTATTTTGTCTTAAGAAGATTGGTAACTTTCAGCTCAGTTATCTCTATGTACTCTATCACCTATTCAGACCTTACACTTCCATTTTGTCAGTTTCTTCGGTAGGCTCCAGGTGAAATCTAGCCTCATCGTTGTTAACTTACTCTCTGATCTGGCTTCATGATACAGTCAAACAGCATGCTTTAGCAAAACACAAACATATCCTGGACCTCAAGTTAACATTTTTTGCTTTACCAGCTTGAATTGTCTTTCTGCTGCTGTACTTCCATCTTTTGTAAAATTTTAAAAATTTAATAGTATATGTTTTCAAGTGAAGTGGGAGGGATTGATTCCCTATTTTGTTTTTGTAATTTAATTTTGATCATACATTGAGAAACCTGTATCCTATATTTTGGAAAAGGAAGCCATCACATAACCTCCTTTAATGTAATATGACCCATTTGTGAAAACAGAAGCAAATTGCATTTAACTTCTCTGAAGGATAATGACAATCAAGAGCACCAGAGAAATTAGGTCAAAATCTAGATGCAGCCAATTAATATTATCAAATAAAATTAAAAATCATTTCAGATTGATCTAAAAAATTTGAGATAAATTGTCTTTGCTGGATAAGTTGACCGAAATATGAAGAAGTTATCATAGTTTGTACCTCTTTGGAGGCCACTACCAGCCTGCCATTACTTAAATGGGATGTCAAAATTAAGCCACTGTTTAAACCCCACTGCCTTTTGATTGTAGCCCAAACTTTTATATTTGTTTGTAAAATACTAAAGCTTTTCTATGCCAACTTAATGTAGGACTGTAAAACAGGTTATCGACTTTATTAGGAATCAAGATAACTTTAAGTAATTTTTAAAATATCCCCATTATTGTAAATCTTAGGAAATACGATTTTTTAAGTAAAGGCAAATGTTTTTTATCTTGAGCATGGAAACAGCCTTTCAAATTAATCACCTTAAAAGGAATATGTAAAAGCTTTCTCTTAAAAAACCCACTGTATTCCCTGGTAGGCTTTATTCCCTTTGAAGACCTATTCCCAGTGCAATAGCCCTTTGTATGTCTCCAGGTCAGCAATCTAGCTTCTTTGTTACTGCAGACCGGTAGATGCCACACCCAGGGGCCATCTGCACTTGTGTCTAAAAGCCCTTTAAACATTTTTTTTTCCAAAGTCAATTCCATCCCAGGGTGATTTTGTTTAATTTGTTGAACCCAATAGGTTTCAGAATACCCCAAAGCCTTGGATCCCTGTTAAAATTTATTTATAATTTGTAAGTATATGTGCACCTATGTTTATAGCAGCACAATTTGTAATAGCTAAATCATGGAAGCAACCCAAATGTCCATACACTGAGGAATGAATAAAAAAGTTGTGGTATTTTTATATAATGGAGTATTACTCAGCTATAAAGAAAGATAAAGTCAAGGTTTTATAGGTAAATGGTCACAACTAGAGACCATACACATAAGTGAAATAAATCAGACCCACATGTGTAAACAACGTATTATCTCACTAGTGTAAGAACGTGAAAGAGTGAATAAAATTAGGAGTTATGATAGGTATTATGAAACGAAAGGAATCTGCTCAAAAGTAAAGAGCAGCTGGGATGAGGGAAAAGAGGAAAGAAAGAAGGGGGAAATTATGTATATATGTTTATACAGGATAACTAAAATAGTTATACTGCTGACTTCTGTTGCTTTATTGAAAGTAATAGTTAATGATTATTTGATCAATCTTATGTGTCTATATTTGTTTTCCTGAGTAACTATTTTGAAGAAATCAGTATGTAATACAACAACCATTGTTAATTTCCTATCACGTCTGAATTTCAGTATTGCTTGTGATGTTCTTATGTTACTTTGTAAATGTATGTGTATTTGTTAAGTAAATAAATAAATAAATTTTTGTCAAGGAAAGAATGACGAATTGAGTGATAGGAAAGTCTGGTGATTTGAATAAAATTTTGTTCCTGACTCTGGCCGCAGCCTCTGCTCCATCACTTTAGGGCTGGGCGAGCTGCTAGCAGTGGCTCCACTGTCCTAGTACTGCGAATCGGCTCCCTCCCCCATATTCCTCCTCCACACCCCAATGCTGGCAGATGGGCCATTCAGTGCCCAAGTTTCTCTTGGCACGCTGGTTGTGGCTCCTGTTTGGGGCTCCCACTCTGCTGCAGGGTAACCCTTTTTTGTCCAGGTTTCAAGCCCAGGCACTGATTGCACAACTTCCAGTGCCTAAAGCATGAACAGTGGTGCTGGTGGCGGTGATGGCCCCTGGAGCCGAGGCATGCCATGGTCACATCTCACCCATTCAGTTCTGGGTGCGCACATTTGTAGTTGGTGTCATGGGCCAGTGGCTGTGGCTGGACTGGGCATGCAAGGAGCAGGCAGCTGGGAAGTACCAGTTGGGTCTGCCTAGGACTGGAGTGCAGGACCCTCCCTGATCCCAATTGGTGCCCCTACCCTTGGCGGTGCTGCTGTGCCACTGGGATCTAACCATACACAATTTAAAAGAATTTTCCCCCTTTGTATCTGATTGAGCAAAGCTAGAGCGCTCAAGCTCTGTTGGCAGTGCTGTTGCTCCATCCTCCTTGTCCCCCTTGGGCTCAGGACTTCACTTTAAAGTACAGTTCTCAGCTGAATCCTTTGTGGTTGTAAAACCCCTTCTAACCGCAATCCAGAAAACAAAGGTAAATACAAAAAAAAAAAAAAATACAACAACCAAAAAAAACACTTTTACATACATCTATAAACATTTATGGTTCTTGAAACTCTGCCCGCTCCACCTTTAACTAGTAGTAATTCAATATATATTTCTCCTTTCGGCTTAAGTCTATTTCTCTCTGAGCTCATTTATCTCTCTGACCCTAGTGAACCCATTTCTGGCCCTAGTGAGCCTCTATCCCCACACTTTACACCTGATGTGCTAGTACCATGCACTCCAGTGCTGAATATTAGCTCTCACAAATGCGCTTCTCTACCCTGTTGCATGCTGTCCAGAAGTATACCCACTTCCCCTTATTCTCTCTCACAAGGTGTCCTATTTAGGTGCCAAATGTAGGGAACTTGCTCATCTCTCAGTGTACCCCAGGGAGGAACAGCAGCAGCAGGTATGAGAAAAAAAGATATGAGGAAAGAGCCGGGTCAGATGGAGGCAACCTCTTACATGATAGGTAAGAGGACCTGATAGGTAGGGACCCGAACAACAACACTATGTGTGCTTATTTATACTCGTGCAAAGTTAGTATCACGAGGAAAGGCTGCCTAGTGACTAATGACTGAATTGTCCAGGCAGAATGCTTTTCTCAAGACTGAGATAGTTTGACTGCTTGAGGCACTCTGGCTGTGTCCTGCCCTCATGCATATGACCAATTTCCAACTCCAGTGGTGCCCAACAGGCCCCTCCAAGCCAGCTGTGGTACTGAGCCTGACCCACTGCTGAGCCAGGCTGGGCCATGCCACCTTAGGGGAGCTCTCCGTGCTGCAGCACCCCTTTTATCTCTTCAATGCGCAGCAACTCTGAGGCCATGGCCCCTTTCTGCAGCAGGGATGGCGGTAGTCCCAGGCAGCTTGTTCCTGTGATGCAGCAAGTTTTCTGAACCGGGCAAACAGAAATAGCCCCTTGTGGTGCAGTTAAGGTTATCAGTTTTACTTGGGATGACTGTGAAATGGAAGTCACAGTAAAACACTCCTCTTGTGGGGAAATGTCCTCCCTGCTCCCCACAATTCCTTCCTTATCTGATTGAGCAAAGCTGGAGGGTTCAGATTCTGTTGGGGGGAGGCTGTTGCTCCACTATCCTTTTTCTGCTTGAGACTTAATTTTTAAAAAGTTCTCTGAGCCAAATCCTCTGGTCATCTCAACAAGCATAGGATCATCAAGACACTCCCTAACCCAGATCCACAATAAAAATGTAAATACAGGAATTAATAATGCAACAAGCATTTCTACTTATGCTGCTGTTCTAGTGATCCTGTTTTTGCCCCATGTTTTACATCTGATGAAATCAATTTTGATAATATCAATACACCTCTCTCCCTTATGCTTCTAATGAGCCTCTTCTGTTTGTGCATGAACTCAGTGGTGTCCTCTCACTTGCTGTATGATGTGTTTCCTTGTGTCCCAGGTCCCTGTTCAGGGGCCAAGATGCCATGTCCAGTGCAGCTCTTGAAATTCCCAGAGGGAGGACAGTGGAAGACAAAGAAATGAAGACAAGCGTCAGAATTCAGAAAGCTGAGGTCGCATGGAGCCTCCTTTCCTGGTGGGAGAAAAAGAACCATGCAACGATTGCAGCACGGTTATTCGTACATGCAGGAGGTTGATGTCAGGTGAAACCACTCAACCTAACTATCGTTTGCCTAGCTTACCTTGGGAACTTTGTGTTCTTGGGGCTGGAACAGCTTGTTCACCTGGCTCACCTCAGGTGCTCCGTGTTCTCAGAGCTGGTCTTGCTTTAACCCCACACTTGTGATCAATCTCCAGCTTCAGCTGCTCCCCACAAAAGACAACTCTGCCATTTGAGTTGACTTCTCACAGGACACTACAGACCCAGGTGAGCATCTGAGCTCAGCATCAGACCTGCCCTGGGAGTGTGTTGAGTGAATTTTTTCTGAATATATTCCCATTCCATGCTGCCTTGTACTGATGAGTAGAAACACTCACTTCAAGCAGCTCTGGTTCCAAACAACTCCAGCTGGCGGCCTGACCCCAGTATGAGAGAGGGAAGGGGTAAATGGCTCCCAGTGCCGCTCTTCTCTGAGGAGTACACAGACCAGGAAGGCACAGGGAGAAGTGCAGACTGCCATACACCTACTTTTTTTTTTTCATACCAGGAATTGAACTCAGGCACTGTGCCACTGCGCTATACCCCTGGCCCCACATGTGCACTCTTGTCTGCATGTTCCTCCACCTCAGCAGACTATCCTTTTTTTCTTATTCAGACTTTATAAAATTTTCTGATTGGTTGACATATCTATGACTATATATTTGTGTATATGTTTCTTTTAAATTATTTTTTGTTGAGATAGAGTCTCACTATGTAGTTCAGGTTGATCTTGAACTCACCATGTAGACCAGGCTGACCTTAACCTCATGGCAATCTTCATGCCTCAGCCTCCCAAGTGCTGGGATTACAAATTAGTGCCACCATGCCCAGCTAAATTATTTTCCTTGTTATTCATTTTCATTTTTTCTAGCTCTTTTTCTTTTTTTCCCTCCTAATACTTACATTCTTTCATTCTCTCTTGCTCACTTTTTTTGGCAGGGACTTCACTTTTTGTTTTCTTCTGCTTTTTACCTTTTTATTTTAATATATTCTTTTACTGTTTTCTCCTTGTTTTCTTCTCTTAATTGTGTTTTTATTAGCTTTTGAAACCTGTTACTTTGTGTCATTTCTGTCCCTACAAATCCTGTTATTAACATTGTGGATGTTGTAGTTATACTTGGTTTTTACTTTATTACTGTGCTATATTCCCTGCTACAGTTATGATTATTCATTTCCCCATTCCTATGTGGTTTTGAGGATTGAACAGGTCATTTCAAATATTTGGGGCTGGTGCTCTGACACTGAACTATTCTCCCAGCCCAGCTAAGACAGCTGCCCAGAGGGGTCACCATGAGCACTGGACTGTGTCTCTCCTAAGCAGGTGAGGATCCTCCTTCCACAGCCTCAGCCCTTATCTAGGACTCAGTCCCTGGTGAGGACGGGGCATGAGCACTGTTGTAGTCAGGGTTTGCTAGGGAAGCAACATAGGACACATAAGTCATAAGATTATTTTATAATAGTCACCCAGGGAGTCATATACAAAGAGAGTGCAGGAAATCTGTTCACACACTAAAGACCAAAATAATCCAGCTGAGGGCCTGGATCCCATGGCAATGTCCTGCATGAGTCCAACTAAAGACCTAGAGCCCATCACATTGCCCCCCCACAAGTCCAGCTGGAGGCCAAGGGCCCATGACAATGTCCCATGCAAGTGTGTTTCATGGATCTGTGCTGAGAAGGCCCAAAGATCAGTGGTGGAAGCTAGGATGTCTGTACCAGTGGGATGAAGGATCTGTGTCAGCAGGCTGCAAGATCTGCACTGGAGGCAGAAAGCAATGCTCAAAGTAAGAAGCAGAAATTCCCTGAAAAGTATCACAGCCATCCTCAGTCATAAGGTCCTGAGCCTCTCTAATGATGAGAACAGCTGAGTCTCATATCAGGAAAGCCAGGGCAACATGTTTCTCCCAGACACTGACCAGTGTCCCATCTTCTCTGGAGCTAGGAAGCAATGCTCAAAGTAAGGAACAGGGCTCCCCTAATGTGAACCATAGCCATTCTCAGCAACAACGAGGTCCTGAGCTCCTTCAACGATGAGAATGGCCATGTTCATATCAAGAAAGCCAGCATGACCAGCTCCTCCAGGAGGACCAACAGCTTCCTAACAGCACCTACCCTACTTCAGTTCTTTTCATTTTGTTGGTAACAATCCTCAGCTGGGTCTCCCACACCCAGCACCATGCTGGTTCAGTTCAGCTGGGTGTTACAAGCTGACCACCAGTTGTCAGTCTACCACAAGCACCCTCCAGCATCATCAACCCCGGGCCTTACCTTCCTGCAAAGCCTACCTAGGTCTCGCTGAGATCTGAGCAGCATGCCTGCAGGGTTCAACAGGTAAGGAGTCCAGACCTGTGAAGAGGGGCAGGATGGACAGGGAGGTTGGTGGGAGAGGGCACTCCACAGTCAGAAACTAGGGTCAGGTTAGGGTAAATGGCAGGGTTAGTGTTGGTTTTGGGTGTTGGATTAGAGTTTAGGGTCCGGGCTCTGGTTTAGGCTTTATCAGTTAAGATAGGATTAGGGTTAGTTTTATGTTAATATAAGGTTTGTAACTAAGTGTTTAAGTTGGAGTTTGTGTCATGTTTGGTATATGGTTAGGGCTAGACTTTAGTGTATTGTTTGGTTTGTCATTTACAATTAGGTTAGGTTAATGCTGTGCCAGAAATCAGTGCAGTTTGTACAGGATAATGCCCGCTTCCCTTTTACCATCTGCCTTGCCTGGGAGAAAAATATTTTTCTATTTGGAAACAGTTTTCTTTTTCTGGGACTCACTATGGGACAGTTCATCATTGTCATGACCTTGACAGATGTAAAGACCACACCCATTTTTGTTGAATGTATGTCTTCAGTTCTGAATAGCTACTTAAGAATAGAAGGCTGAGCAGTATAGTAAGTCTGTGGTCAACTTTTTGAGGAAAAATCAAACTCTTTTCATACAGACTGCACCATGTATAAGGGTTCCTGTTTCTCTGCGTCCTTACCAGCACTTGTTTCCTTAAATTCTACGGATGATAGGTGCTGTACTAGGGAATCTTCACTGTGTTTGTCATTTGCATTCCATTAAAGGATGAGTCATTAAGCATGTTTGTATTTAAATGTGGGAGGGGTGGAAGGAGTCTTCTTACTTCCCAGCTTTCTGTTCTTTGTCTCAATTGTCAGTTCTCACTGCCAACACTCAGTGAAGTTGTAACTAGCACCACAAAAATGAAACTTTAAAAGTTCCAGTGACTTCTGCAAAATTCCTCAGGCCTAGGACATAACATTCTGTATCTAGTTTATTTCACTTAACATTATAGTCTCAAGATACAACCATTTTCTTACAAAGAATCAAATTTATCTTTCTTTGGTTTTGTTTTGTTGAAACAGTGTCTCATTATATGGCCTCAAACTTGCAATAATCCACATGCCTCAGACTCCTGAATGAAAATTTTCTTTCCTCTGGTGAGCAGTACTCAATATATCAGATTTCTTTTATCCATTTATCTGTAGATAGTGTATAGACCATTTCAAAATTTTATGTATTATGAATGGTCCTGCTATAAATGTGGGAATGTATGTCTCTGTAAGATGATGTCTTTATGTTTCTTGGAAGATACCCAGATGGGTTATTCCTGAGTCAAATGGAATTTAATGTCATGCCAGACCAGGGCAAGACCTCACAGCAAACAACAGGAATCCACTTAAAGGACCACACTGCCCTCAGAAAACAGAAAGATGGCCATGAATAAACTTAGGACTTGACATACAATCTCCCAGACACCAGAATGCCCAACACTACCATACACCTGTGCTGACCATCTTTGGAACCTTGACCCCATGTGTTCAGTAAGTCTCCAACTGGACCTGACTCTTCTAGCTTCCAACCTGCTTTCCAGAAGCGCTACTCTTTTCAGGGAACTCATCTCTCAGCAGGAAACTTAGCTCAGCACCTGAAGTTGTCATGGACAAGCATAGGAAAGGAGGTAAGACAGAGAAGGAATTTTGTAGATCCTGGGGACATCTGGAGGCCTAAAATTCACATTGGCTACTTCAAAGGACTCTGCCCACTGAGACGCAAGATTGTCAGAAAATTTTAACCACAGGTGTTCATTGGGATCTTCCCACCTAATCTCCTCTGCCTTCCCTGCCTCTGTACAAATGGGACACACTTCTCTTTGTTTGCGGCAGAAGGCCTTATCCCACTCTCTGCCTGAACCCAGTAACAATAAATTCCATGCCATGTTGCCTTACACAGGCTGATACTCTCTGTTGGTTCCATATTACACATCCCATCCGAATTCCTTGGAACTGTGAACCCTATCCCCAAACTCTACATAAACTTGCTCTTTTCTGCAGACCTCCTGCTGATACCATTTCAGCTTGCCTGTTCCTCAATGGAATTACAATACAGCCTTTTCCCTACATGAGTCTGCCTCCTTGTGCACCATTAGTAGCATATTGGTTCCTGAAACCCTGGATGGGGAGGGCTCTTTAGAGAGCCTTCCAGCCTATTTTGAGCCTTTTCCCATTGAGGCCACCCTGGTGACACTGGCTTCCTGCACTTTGCTCCAGGCAACTCCACAGCTCCCACCACACTGATCACCTCAGATCTGGGAAGCACTTCTTCCCTGTCTGAGCTTCTAAAGCTCTCTGTGTTTCTAAGGCTGTGCATTGCTGCTGCCCACTGCTCTTTACTCCTGCACCTGTCTTACTTTTCTCAGTGCTGAGACAAAATACTCAACACCTAAAGTTAAAGGGGGAAAGGTTTACTTAGCTCATAGTTTGTAGAGGTTTTAGTCTGTACTCAGCTGGCTCCAAGGCAGGACAGCATGGCAGAGGAGCAAGTTTATGCTGGTGGAAGACAGCAAAAGCAGCAAGAGCAAAAGGGGAGGGGCAAGCCTGTTTTCCTCCCTTATAACGTGTGCAGGCTACATGCTCTAGGGCAAGTACAGCACTCACACCCTAAATCCCAGCACTAGACAGTGAACCAGTAATAAACTCTAGATTTAGCCACCTCCAAGAAGACTACTTCCCTAACTGCATAGGGCTTTGGGAGAGACATCCAAACACAAACTGTAACAGCACCTTTCACTCTTCTGCACCTTTAAGACTGTCTCAAAGTGCCACATCTACTCCCTAGTTCTGCTCTCTCCCCTTAACCTCCTGGAAACAGAGAGGCTCACCCAGTTTTCTGTTTGTAAAACTAGTATTCATCACAGAAATACCATCTAGGGAGACTGGGTCCCCTTGGTAATTGATCAGTTGCAGTGACGACTGCCTTGATCACTTACCCATGCTGTTTCAGGTTTGAATCCCAGCTGGATATGTCCACTAGGGACTTGCCACCACCCGTTTTTGCCATTTCAGGCATGAGAGTTACCTCTCTCTGGTCTCCACAGGGAACTTTCCTCTATTTCCTTTTCCTCCTTACTAGCTTGTCTCTTAAAAAATCTGAAACCTCTCTGTCTCTATCCCAATCTGAGTGTCTAATAATCTTCTGCAACGCCATATGGCCACAGTACCAGCCAGATAATGGTTCATGGTGGCCAGAAAATGTACTTTGGATTTCTCTATACTGCCAGACTTATTGACAATTACTGCCAGAAATGGCTTATGTTCAGGCATTGTTCACATTCTGTAACAGTCCGACTTTGTGTGCCTCCTGTAATCCCTGGCAAATCGTTTCCCTCACATCTATACCCCCTTCACTACACATGGACTCTCCTCTGAACACACATCCAACTGAACTTCTCCCTCGGCAGTGCCTGACTGCCACTGCAACTGCTCCTCCTCCAGAGCCTCCTGCCACTGTGGCCACCGCTTCCCTCCTCTGGAGCCTCCGGCAACTGCAGCCACTTGTCTCCCCCCACCCCCCACTCCCACCCCCCAGAGCTCCCTGCCACTGCAGGCACTTCCCCCTCCTGTAGGCCCTCCTGCTGACCTAGTGCCTGTTCCCTCTATTTATCTGGCATTTCCCCTTGAATTTAATCCTCCTCCGTGTGCTACACTGGATCCCACTCCACCCCATATCCGATTTGGACTGGACTTTGGTCCCCAAACCTTGTCCTCTGCCCCCTACTTCCCACTGCATGAAATAATGGGGGCAGAGTGAATAGTTAGGGCTCATGTTTCTTTCCGTTTGACAGACCTCTCCCAAAATAACTAGAATCTAGGCTTCTTTCCTCAGATCCTACCCAATATATCCAAGAGTTTCAGTACTAAACTCATTCATGTAACAACCTGTGCCAATTTAAATGTGGCCCTTGGCTCCATTCTCTCTTCAGAAGAGCAGGAATGAGTGATCTCTCTGGCCCAGTCCTATAGGGATGAACAGCACCTCCTTCTGGTGGACACTGCAGCTGTCTCCCTAGCGAAACCCAAACTAGAACTATCAGGCAGAATCTGAGGACATACCCAACTGAGGTCACATGGTTTCTTACTTAGTAGAGGGATGTCAGAAGAAGGCCTATAAGGCAATTAATTTTGATAAGCTAAAAGAAACCACTCAGGTTAGGGATATAGCTCAGCAGCACAAGCAACTGCCTGGCAAGTGCAACGTCCTGAGTTCAATTGGCAGGACCAAAAAAAAAAAAAAGGAACCATTCAGAACAAGGATGAAACTCAGCTCAGGTTATGGCTGGTCAGATGCTGCCCTTAGGTGATACACACCATTAACCCCAGAAAGGCCAGAAGGAGAACTTATCCTAAAGATGCTGTATATTACACAGTCAGCACCAGACATTCATAAATAAATAAATAAACAAACAAACTACAGAAACTGGAGGCTGGCCCTCAAGCCTCATAATAACAGCTTATCAATTTGGCTTTCCAAGTTTTTAATAAAGATGGGACTGCTTGAAAACAATGCATTTTTGAGCTGTAAATGTCAGTCTCCACTGTAAGAACTCCTCAGGCTGGACCAGACCCCCCAGCCAATAGGTAAAAGCATTTCTAAGGTCTTCCAGTCGGAGGGTGTCCCTCCACGGCCATATTTCAAATGCCATCACTGGGCTAGAGAATGCCCACAACCTGTGGTCCTTCCTTTGGGGAGCCTCAGTGTTGAGTTTTCTGAACATATATATATATGTTCAGAATATATATGTAGAACATATATATATGTTCTACATATATATAATTTTGTCAAAATGGGATGAAATTAAATCATAATGTATTTTCCCAATTATATCCTCAAATAACTATTTTATATTTCCAGTAAACCAAGTATTTGCCCCTAAAATACTGAATACTTCATTTAACAATAAACCACAACCTTTAGACCAACTAATACTGAATATTTTCCCTAAGTACAGTACAACTTAAATTATATTTATAAAAAGAAAGGAAAGTTTCTGTGGACACATCATGAAACCAGTCATGTTATTTTTGCTAAACTTAATTGTATTCATTTTATTAAACAAAAATCATATATTGAAAGTGTACAGTGCAATGTGTTACTGTTTATATGGTGAAATTACCACATTCTTCATAGTTCTTCATAATTCTTCAAATTACCACATTTGCATCACCTGAGACAATTACCTTTTGGGTATATGAAGAAAACAATAGTAACAACTTCTAGCAAACTGTAATGCTATGTGGCACTGTATCAATCACTGTACTCACTATGGGATGTATTTAACATTTTGATTTTTTTGTTATGCCAGTTTGTACTCTGTAAGAAAAACACTTTGGCAATGGCTTGCATGTAAAATGCCCCTTGAGGGCCATGTACTGAAGACTTGGGTGTAATAATTATTATTCTGAATTTAACATTATTATGCAATTTCCAGCCTCATCAGTGCATTAATCCACCAATCTATTGGAGGAAGACTGTCTCTTTGAAAGTGTATCTCATTGCTAACCCACCTCTCTGTCTCTGTCACTCTAATTCCTAGCTTTCTCACATTCAGTATTTATACTAAATCTCTTTTTCAGTTTGTGCACTGTTTCTGATGTTATGAGAATCATGAAATGCTTTCAGATATTACATACATAGGCTTTCACTTCAGTGGGGATTCTTTCATGATTTTCAAGGTAGGTGGAAAAAAATGGGAGGGTTTCCCATATTTATTGCATACAAATGGCTTCACTCTCATATGGATTTTTTCATGAACTTGTATGAAGAAAAATAAAACATTTCCCACATTTTGCACATATGTTGAGATTATCTGAATTCTTTTACATATGTAGTAATATCTGTGTATTGATTTTTTAAATATCAGAAAGGCTTCTCTGCACTGAACTTTCATGCCAGTGCAAGTCACTTTATATAGTGTTAATTTCCTCCCAAATATTTTCATGTCTATGATGATTGTGAGTTACTGAAGGCTTTTCCATATTGCTTACATACACAAGGTTTCTACACTGTGTGATTCCTCTCATGTCTTTGACAACGACTATGTCTAGTAAAAGCTTTCCCACATTGTTTGCATGCATAGGGTTTCTCCCCAGTGTGAGTCCTTTCATGTATTTTACGTTCACTGTGCCTGCTGAAAGCTTTCCCACATTGGTTACACACATACTTTTTCTCCCCAGTATGGGTCCTTTCATGTGTTTTACAATGACTCTGTGTCCTGAAAGCTTTCCCACATTGCTTACATACATAGGGTTTCTCCCCAGTGTGAGTTCGTTCATGTATTTTATAAAGACTCTGTGTCCTGAAAGCTTTCCCACATTGCTTACATACATACGGTTTACTCCCAGTGTGAGTCCGTTCATGTCTTTGACAATAAATGTGTGTGCTGAAAGCTTTCCCACATTGCTTACATATGTAGGGTTTCTCCCAAGAGTGAGTCCTTTCATGTTCTTGACAATATCTGTGTGTGCTGAAAGCTTTCCCACATTGCTTACACACATAGGGTTTCTCCCCAGTGTGAGTTCTTTCATGGATTTTACATTCACTGTGCCTGCTGAAAGCTCTCCCACATTGTTTACATGCATAGGGTTTCTCCCCAGTGTGAGTCTTTGCATGCCTTTGACAATTCTTACGTGTGCTGAAAGCTTTCCCACATTGTTTACATGCATAGGGTTTCTCTCCAGTGTGAGTTCGTTCATGTGTTTTATAAAGACTCTGTGTCCTGAAAGCTTTCCCACATTGCTTACATACATAGGGTTTCTCCCCAGTGTGGGTCCTTTCATGTGTTTTACAATGACTCTGTGTGCTGAAAGCTTTCCCACATTGGTTACACACATAGGGTTTCTCTCCACTGTGAGTTTGTTCATGTCTTTGACAACGACTCTGTGTGCTGAACCCTTTCCCACATTGGTTACACACATAGGGTTTCTCCCCAGTGTGAATTCTTTCATGTATTTTACATTCACTGTGCCTGATGAAAGCTTTCCCACACTGTTTACATGCATAGGGTTTCTCCCCAGTGTGAGTCCTTTCATGTATTTTACATACACTGTGTGTGCCGAAAGCTTTCCCACATAGCTTACAGACATATGGTTTCTCCCCAGTGTGGGTCCTTTCATGCCTTTGACAAGAGCTCTGTGTGCTGAAAGCTTTCCTACATTGCTTACACACAAAGGGTTTTTCCCCACTGTGAATCAGTTCATGTCTCTGACAATGACTTTGTGTGCTGAAAGCTTTCCCACATTGCTTACAAACATAGCGTTTCTCCCCAAGGTGAGTTCGTTCATGTCTCTGACAAAGACACTGTTTGCCAAAAGCTTTACCACAGTGCTTGCATATATAAGATTTCTCCCCAGTGTGAGTTTGTTCATGACTCTGACAAGGATTCTGTGTACAGAAACCTTTCCCACATTGCTTACATACACAGGGTTGTCCCCCAGTGTGAGTTATTTCATGATTACCTAATGATGTGCTATTATTTAAGGATTTCCAACAGTATTGATATACATAGGATTTTGATCCAGTGTGAGTTCTTTCATGTTTCTGAATATTATGGTGAGAATTCAAACCTTTACCACACTGTATACATACACAAGTGTTCACCCTTCCATGATTTCTGTCCTGGATTTGAACATAGTTAGGTGTACTGAAGGCTCTCACCTCTTGATTATAGACAAAGGATTTCTCTTTATCATTATTTCCTTCACTGTAATCAGAGTAGGATTTTCCACATTTCTTATATCCACGTGGTTTTTCTTCAGAATTTGTCTTTGCATGTTTCTGAAAGGACTGCAAGTCAGTGGAGGTTTTCCCATGTCTATTACAGATAGACAGCTTCTCTTCAAATCCATGGAGCTCATGTAACTTGAGTCCACTGTTATGCATGATGGGCATGGTTGGTGACGACTGACCAACCAGTGGCTTTCCACATGCAAGGCTTTCACCTGGTTTTGTATCAAGCAGTTTCATGTGCACATTTGTGTCAGGAGTCATAAAAAGCATTTCTGCATATTGATACCATAATTTATATTGACAGCATTTATCTACCTCTGTATTTCTGTCAAAGAAAAAAATAACAAAATAACCAGTCACATTTAAAAGTGTCTTTATATTAAAGGTTTACCAAGATGAGGTCTGATTGGATGCCCCCAAGCCATATTTGATCATGAATTTACTGTATACTCCGGATGATGGCCTGGAAACAGCTTTTACCAAAACAGCATGCATTTGGGGTTTAAAAGTGCTATTTTTGCAATACATAATGGTTACTTTTATCTTGCACAAGTGGTACATATGCACACAATACATATGTGTGCATATTATTCTTCATACACTTTTCCTCCGTGATTCTTTCCCTTCCCCTTCCTCTGAGCCTTTTTACCCTCTCCAAAATGTCTGCCTCTTTTCTTCCATCTCTCCTTTTTTTTACTTTTCAATTTTATCTTGTGTTTCTCATACAAAATACAACACATGATATTCAACTTTCTGTGTTTATCTTACTTAATGTGACATGGGTTCCAGATCAGTCCATTAGTTGGCAAATGTTATCATTTTATCCCTGTTTATGGCTGAATAGCATTTTATCATATATACACAGAACATGATTTTCAGTGCTAGAGACTGAACCCAGAAGTTTATCACTGTGCTACATTCTGTTATTTATCTTTTATTATGTGACTGAGTCTTATTAATCATTAAGTTGCCCAGGATGAGCATGAATGTGCCTCAGCCTCCCAGCATACTCTATCCTGCCCAGGCTATCCCATTTTTCCTCTCTATTCATCTGTGACTGGGCATATAGGCTATTTCCAGAGTCTCAGTTTTGTAAGTTTTATTGCTACAAACATGGACATGTGTGTGGCAGTGTAACGTGATTATTTTAACTGTGGAAGAATACAGCCAGTAGAAGTATAGTTGGATAAAATGAAATTTCTATTTTTAGTTTTTTGAGGAAGCACAATACATATTTCCATAGATGTTACACTACAATGACATTCCCACCAACGTTTTGGGAAGGTGCCTCCTAATAATGTATTTTGGAACATAAATTTTTAGGATTGCTTGAAAAAAGCTATTATCATAACAGGGGTATTCATTTGGATTTTAAATAGTTCTTCAAGGTTACAGATGTTGCAAATACTCAATGCGTATACTACATTTAAGTCCATATAGCATTACTTACATAATTTGACAAGAAATCAGTCTTTTGACATTATATGTACATGTAACTACATATCCTGCACTTTCAACTAAACACAATTTTTATATGTACCTATAGTCAATGTATAAATAAAATTTTATAGAAGTTTTATAATTTGAGCACAGAAACTAATTTGTTGATTATTATGCTTTAGATAATATCACTTGTGATGTAATATCTATAATCCCTACATTTCCAATATTGAATTATTTTAAATATTTAATTGTTACATTCTAGATAGTAAATATGTATGCATCTTTGGAGTAATTTTGTGGGATTAAAGAATTTTGAACAATGGCCTTATTTACTTTATTTGTTTGATTGATTTCTAAAACAGGTTCTCCTTATGCAGGTCAGGCCAGCCTCAGACTCAATATAAAGCTCAGACTTGCCTTGAATTCCTGGCAATCTTCCTGCATCAGTCACCAAAGTGATGGTATTACAGGCATACACCACCTTGCTTGGCTTATCATATATTTTTTGAATATGGCCTTGTTTGTATTGTTTGCTTATTTTTAATATTTCTGACATTTGATAAACATTCTTGTGAACACAAATTACCTTTGAATTTTCCTGTAATTTTTATACTCATCTTCAATTTGCTGGTCATCCCAGTTTTCTCCTAAAGTGTACAAAAAGAAATGTAATGATGTGTTACTATAGTATATAAAAATTATAGCTTCTATTTAGGTTCATGAGCTAGGGCTGGGGATATAGCTCAGTGGCACAAGTGCCCACCTAGCAAGCACAACGTCCTGAGTTTGATTCTCAGCCCCCCAAAGAAAAAGATTACATTCATGGTCTAACTTGACCATGTCCAGAAGATTCACAAAAATATTTCCATATTGCAAAAAGGTGAACTGCAGTAATGAATAATAACCAATGCTCTTTGACTACATAAATGAGAAGTAATAGCTTCCTTACCTATAGCAGTCACATTCCTAAAGTTTTCCCACATCACATCTCTGTAGAGCTTCTTCTGGGGTGGATCCAACAAAGCCCACTCCTCCATGGTGAAGTTCACAGCCACATCCTCAAATGTCACTGCCTTCTAAACAATCAGAAATATATTTCCCAGAAGAAGAGTGAGACTCATAACACAATATTTCAAACCTATTCATAAAAGCTGAAATGAGGCTGTGTCCCATAAATGTTTAGTTCCTGCCTTGGTCATCAAACACTTAGTCTGTATCCACATGCACTTGTCACACAGGAACTTTGATGTCAGATGGGAATACACTGCTAAAGAAATACCAAAACAGAAATACCGGTTCTCCTGCTATTTAATCCTTTCATTTCTACTTTGTGTGGAAAGCATGTTTCAGGGAAGGAGCCCACTTGATCAGATGAGGGGTAAAAAGAACCGGGGTAGATGAATATCTAATGACTTTCCATCACAGAAGACTGAAAATGTATCTATTTTCAACTCATTATTTAGGAAATAGATCCCTTCCTGCTGACTGTCTTTAGACAGCATTCTGAAACTTGACACTGGCTCCACAGACAAAAGTAATTAAAAACAAAGTAAAATTCATGAATGATAATTTAAAATACTCATGGAAAGTATTGCAGTATTCATTGAAGAAAGTCTAACTATGAAATTAGATTAAGTGTAAACTTCAAGCTAAAGCTCATTAGAAGAGACAAAGGTCACTACATACTAGTTAAGAGTACAATCCAACAAGAACAAGAATAATGTTTATAAGTATGTTTGAGTACCAAAAAAAAAAAAAAAAAAAAATTGGCAAGGGGCTGGGGATTTAGCTCAG